GGTCCCTCAGCAGTGCCAGCTCAGGGGACAGTCCCTTCCCTAACCCTGCTGGCCGCTCCATTCCTGCTGAAATCCAGGTGCCAGCGGCCTCCTGCCCACCTGGGCACACCTGGGCATGTCCAGCCGCTGTCACCAGCACCCCCAGGGACATTTCTCCAGGCTCAGCTTCTTCCCAGCTCCCTCAGCCTCTCCTGGTTCTCCAGGCCCTTCCCAGCTCCCTCAGCTTTTCCTGGTTCTCCATTCCCTTCCCAGCTCCCTCAGCCCCTCCAGGCCCTTCCCAGCTCCCTTCCCTGGACAGCTCCATCCCCTCCAGGTCTCTCCTGCCCAGAGCTGTCCCCAGGGTGTCCCTCAGGCTGTGCCCACACTGGGGCTGGCACAGCCCAGGTGCCATTGGCCAATTACCCAGCTGGGGACCTGCAGCCACTGTCCCCAGGGCCTGTGCCAGCTCTCCAGGCTGGAGCTGTCCATGGGCTGTGCCCCAGCCTGCCCTGGCTCAGGAGGGGTCTGAGCCTCTCCCAGTGAGTGACCTGTGGCTGTTGCTGTGTGCCAGGTGTGTACAGAGGTGGCTGTGACGTGCTGGTGAGGTCCAGGCTGGCCCTTGGGGACGGTGTGACCATGCAGGTGACAGTGAGGAGCAAGGACGAGACGGCCGTCGATGTCATCCTGGCCTCGGTGGGCTGAGGGTCCCCCTGTCCTGCTGTCCTTCTGTCCTGCTGTCCTTCTGCACGGGGTTTTTATTCCTCCCTTGGGGAACTCTTTTCTATGCTGTCCAGTAGTGGCTGGCTGGTACTGAGCCATTCCCGTGTCCCTTCCCTCCTTGTCACACCGTTCCCACCTGACTGACGGCATCTCATCAGATGTGAGGAAACAGAATCAGATTTTTGTCAAAATTGCTTTTTATTAACAGAAAATAAACACTGGTTCAAGTGGTGGAATTCATATGAATTACTGTTAATAAAATAGATTTTTTTTTTTGTTCTTATTCTGTCTGCTCCAGTACAGAAAAAATATCCCATAAGCAAAAACCCCTTATTCCTAAAGGGAGGCTATTAAATTCCCAACATAAACAGTTAAAAACCATCCCACACCTCCAGATTTGCAATATTTTTGTGACTGTCTCTTCTTCCACACAGAAAAATCAATGTACAGAGAGAGATTAAACTCCATCTCTTGAGGCAGATTCAATTCTCTGAGCTTTATGTCAGGTAATAACCAAACCTGGGTTCAAACTGGGAGAACTGGGAAGGGAAGGGGATGGAGGGATTTGTGAGGGAGCTCCTCCTCTCCCTGCTGATGAAGAGGTCGTTCCTTCCCAAGTCAGGCTGATGAAGGAAGCAAGAAATTCTGATTTTGCATTGATTTAAACCTCTGCTGAGTTCAGCTGGGCAAGAAGGGGAGTGCAGGGCTGGAGGAGCTGTCAGAACCCTGCTTTCCCCCTCATTTTTCCAGCTCTCCAAGGCTTTCACTCCATTTGGCAGCCCAGGATGAGGCTGTGAGCACAGTGTTGGGTTGGGGAGAGAAAATCAATGTTTTTTCCTGCTGTGAGCACGGATCTGCAGCAGCTCAGAAGGAGTTGATGAAGTTCAGGTAGGCATTCAGGAATCCCAGGGGATCCTCTAGGTGTGGGTAGTGGCTGATGTGCTCATCCAGCACAGACACTGTGGACACGGGGAGCACCTTCCTGGGGGAAAAACA